TAGACAAATTTGTTATTCGGCCTTTATCAAAGAATGACAAAAAGAAACTAGAAACTCTCTTGGTTCGTGCAACAGTCACTGCAGGGTTTTCATTACGATGGGTGCAAAATAAAGAAGTTCGGGAACTATTTGAATTTTTGAATCCTACTTTAAAATTACCTGGACGTCAAACCTTAGGTGGAAGAATTTTAAATAAAGAAGTAAAGAGACTTGAAGATAACATGGTGATAAAGCTTAAAAATAATTCAGTTGGACCAATGCTTGCCTTTGATGGTTGGACCAACATAATTAACCAAAATATCATAGGTGCAGTTTTTATTACACCTGAAGGAGAAGTATTAGTCTGGAAGGGAATGGATATTAGTGGTGAAAGAGAAATGTGGAGAGAAGTTATAGAAAAAATCGAATTAATGTTTAGTGAAATTATTCAAATGGGAGTAAAGCTAATTGCAGTCATTTGTGATAGTGCATCTTCTTATGCCACTGCAAGGTACATAATAAAATCGTATAGTACTTACATTAATATTTTTTTTAAAATAATTAACTTTTTAATAAATATAGACGTCGTCTTCGATTAAAATATATTGATATTTCTTTTTTGCCATGTTACGCCCATCAAATGAATTTATTTGTGGGCGAAATTTTTAAAGAATCTATTGAGTTTCGTCAAACAGCAGCCAATGCAATTAAAGTGGCAGTTTATTTTCACTCAGTGCAACATAAGTATTTTATTGATAAATTAAGAGATTTACAGAATGAATTTTATAAGAAATATATTTCATTAGCGGTTGGTAATGATACATGGTAGAACAGTTATTTGGAATGTTTTCATTCATTACTTAAGTCGAAGTCTGCATTAAGGGTATAAAAAAATCATACAGTATTTGATTTTATACTGTTATTTAATATATACTTAAATGATTTTTTTTTTATATTAGACACTCACTTCTAAGTTTGACCCTCTTGAACCATTAAATGACGATTCTTTATATCTTCCAGAAAATATTACATCAATTCTTTTAGATGAAAGTTAGTGGCACGTATTACAAAAACTTGCTAACATTTTAATGCCTTACGGTATTATTATCGATCTTTTTCAAAAAGACAAGGCACGTTTGCATGAGGTCTTACACGGATTTGGTTATTTCGTGGAATTTTGGAAAAGATATGAAGATTTGGAATTTGGCCAACAAATATTAAATAGATTAGAATCAAGATGGAGAGAATGGGAACAACCGCTTCTTCTCTTGTCTTGGCTTCTTTATCCAAATTACCAAATGAAAAAATTTAAGTCTAACGTAGCTAACCTTAATCATGTATATCTTAGTAAATGGCTTATATATTACTATGAAGCTTGGTCACATAATAAGTCTCGATCGATTTTACGTGAGTATGAAAATTTTCGAAGAGGCGCTTTTCCTTTTGATAATCAGTCAATTAATCATTTCAAAGATGGTGTTTTTGAGTTTTGGTCCTGGGCTACACCGACTGCAAAAGAGCTTGCATTTGTAGTACAAAGAATATTTGGAATTTGCATAAATGCAGCTTTAGTAGAACGTTTATGTTCATGTATGGGTTTTCTTCATATGAATCGACGATGCCGGTTGCATGTAAGTATAGTATAATTGTGTATTTATCAAATAATTTTGGGTTAATTGCTATATTTATTATATAGTATAAAAAAGCATTAAATATGAGTAAGCTTCGGGCCTCTATTACTTATCAACATCAGTTGGATGATAAGGAGTTATGTAATTCTGAAGAAGAATCCAAAGGCGAACTCTCTTCTGATATTGAAGAACTCTCTTCTGATATTGAAGAACAACCATCTAATAAAAAAGATCGTGAAGAATTGAAAGGATTAAAGGATGATGAGGACTTAGATGAATATGTTGAAAATTTTAATGGTTTTGTTGATGAGTGGGAAGAATTATTTGATCAAGAAGAAAAAGCACAAAAAGATGCAGACGCCGATTTGAATTATGATCTAGAAGTGGATATCAATGATTATCTACTTAATCAAACACATCCTGCAATGGAAATTGAAGCTAAATGGAATATTTGTGAAATATTTATTAATGGTTTGGACGCGCCTTTCAATATTAAATAACTGTTATTTTTAAGTTTTAAATAAAGTTTTGATCTTAGCGAATAATTTGATTTATAATTCATGAAATCTAAATTACATTGAACTTTTACGTACAAACAAATTTTTTTTAAAATATACTGCATCATTAACAAAAATATTTAATTCTTGTTGATGTGAAGCATTTTCGCTAATGATTTCATCAGTTGAATCCGTTGCTATTGCAACAAAAATTTAATCAGTAAAATCGTTATAAAAAAAAGCCAGCACAACTAAAGTTGAAGCTTCGGCAGTTATCGAATTGAAAAAAAATTTATTAGCTTTATAGAAAACAGCGTATATTATGAGAATTAGTAAGAGTACACTCAAGCATTTAAATTTATAAATATCATTATTGATCATGATGCTTGAACGAACAGGAGGGACATTGATGTTACACGATTGTTTTTACACACGGTGTGAAGCACATAAAAAAAATATTTTACAATACTTGATCAGACTTGATCAGTCAGTTAGTACATGTTATGATTATAATCCAACACTATTTTTTATTATAGAAAAATGATGTTGGATTATAATCATAACATGTACTAACTGACTGATCAAGTTCGATCAAGTATTGTAAAATATTTTTTTTATGTGCTTTATACCGTGTGTAAAAACAATCGTATAACATCAATGTTCCTTCCTGTTGCTTGAATGTGCATTATTATGAATATTATTTAATCAATTGATTGATATGCTTAAGAATGCTCTAACATAGTGTTATAAATAGTTGAAAAGTATTATATATGTAGGTAGGTAGGAAAATTAAAAAAGAATTAAACCAATATCACTTGATTTATTAATTATTGGTTTAATTTCCTTAAATTTCGTCACCTATCTATAATATTAGTTTGTAGGCAACTTATAGTAATTCTGCAGTTGCTATTTTACATTGAAAGTCTTGAGTATTAATCGTAGTACAGTACTTAATATACATGTTTGCGAATAGTTTAAATAAAGATTACAGGTTCAGCACTTTTGCAACGTAAATAATCATTATTAATAAATTATTATATATTTTATATAGATTAATTTTATTCTATATATACTATATATTTGGCCAAACCGGCCAAATAATTTTATTGCCCGTTTTGGCCAATGGCCGTGGCCATTGGCCGGCCAAAAAACAAAGTGACAACACTGTACTAGTCCTAACAGTACTATGCTAAATTCTTATATATATAATATATATAATATTTGGAATATCCAGTTATAACATTATGTAACCTGCTTTCAACAAAGAATTAACAACCTAGCAATACTCGGCATCTCTACAAAAATTAGATTACAACAACTTCAAAACAACCTCTGGTCTGCTACTAACATACTTCAGCATAACCAACCACTTATCGATAGACCCAACAAACTTACTCTTAACTTCAAAATCATACAACTTCTACAGCACTTGAGCATTTCAATTTTAGCAAACTCTAATATCTTGTGGCCCAACACAATTCACGATAGTTATTAACTATTAGAGTCTATACTTATTCAGCATCCCAAATACAATACTTTTAGAAAACAGCTTCGAAAAAACAACATATTTTACCTAGAACAATTATGTACTACAGATAACAGTACCTTACTTAAATAGCATCACCTTTCACTCAAACTTCACTATCTAACTAAAGGAAGGCAGCCTCTTTGGTTTACCTATCTAGAAGACACAATTTTGTCTGACAGACTGCACTGCATAAT